TTATTTATTTGACAGAGAGAGAGATCACAAGTAGGTAGAGAGGCAGGTGGGGGGGTGGGGGGAGGGAAGCAGGCTCCCTGCTGATGCGGGGCTCAATCCCAGGGACCTGAGATCATGACCTAAGCCAAGGGCAGAGGCTTAACCCACTGAGCCACCCAGGTGCCCCAAGATTTCTCCTTTCTCAGTCACTTCTAGAATAATGGGTGGAACCCAAATTCTACCTGTAGATCAGCCCCCAGGTCATGTTTACCAACGCAAGGTAAAAAGAAAAAAACTAAAGGATATGGATGAAGTTTTCAAAAACTAAATCTGTTTGGTTTTAATAACCGTTCTGTCTTCTAAGATTTTATCCTTTCTATTCTTTTTTTCCCCTCACTTAAGCCGGGTACATTTTATTATGTGTAAATTATGCCTTCAGTAAAGTTGTTTTTTTATTTTTACTTATTTATTTATTTTAAAAAGATTTTGTTTATTTATTTATTTGACAGAGAGAGAGATCACAAGTAGGCAGAGAGGCAGGCAGAGAGAGAGAGAGAGGAGGAAGCAGGCTTCCCGACGAGCAGAGAGCCCGACTCGGGGCTCGATCCCATGACCCTGAGATCATGACCAGAACTGAAGGCAGAGGCTCAACCCACTGAGCACCCAGGTGCCCCAGTAAAGTTGTTTTTTAAAAGTAAAGTTGTTTTTTTTTTTAAAGTTATGGAGAGGGGCGCCTGGGTGGCTCAGTGGCTTAAAGCCTCTGCCTTCAGCCCAGGTCATGATCCCGGGATCCTGGGTTAGAGCCCCGCATCGGGCTCTCTGCTCAGCGGGGAGCCTGCTTCCTCCTCTCTCTCTCTCTCTGCCTGCCTCTCTGCCTACTTGTAATCTGTCTGTCAAATAAATAAATAAATAAATCTTTTAAAAAAAAAGTTATGGAGAAAACAGAGAATCATTTCTTGGCTACTTCCCACCCTTTGGTGTTAACTGTTTTTACATTTTTTGAACTGATGGTGATATAGTAGATATAAAAATTATTTATTTAGTTTTCGGTTCTTACTTGATAAGATAAAAAGTACGGAACCCTATATTATAAGAAATATTACTGGTCAACTAAATTCAGAGTTTGAGGAATCACTGCTGAACCATGCCAGGAATGAGTTGTTCCCTGAATACATACAAATTGAATTTAACCACCAGATATTAGCAGTCATATTAGTAAGCACATGCATATCATATGTAAAGAACAATATTAAAATTTTAATTAATGGTTTTATACCAGTGTATTTCTGGCAAAATGATATTTTCAATAAAGTCTACTAACTATTCAGTTGATTTTTGTTGTTGTGGAAATAAAATTTATTCTCAGGTTGTAAGGCACAGGATTTCAAAAAAGGGCCAATAATCAGATTTTCTATAGTAAATTATGACTGGAATTTACATGCTCTCCAGGTATTCAGGTAAAGGCACAGAGCTGACAGCAAGTGGACTGTGCGATAAAAGCAAACCAACCGTTTACCTATCATTTATTTAAATAAATAACACAGGAACCTGATTATCTTGAAAAACCATTGGTATTAAGACATACAGGAAACAAAGCCGAACCATGGAATAAGGTAATTCTCTCCTTCACCTCCTGACACATGTCTTTAAGCCTCCCTTTAAACAAAATCTCTTGAATCTATTGACATTTCTTCATCCCCACCAACACCACCCTAAACCGCCATCAACTCTTGACCCAGCAACTGTAACCACGACCTAGCTCACCTTCCTGTGCCCCGTCTTGCCCACTCCTTTAAAAAATAAGTCTGATTATGCCATTTCTCAGCTTTAAAATCCTACACTGGCTTCCTTTGTTCCTAATGAAAGACTGAAGTCTATTCCTGCTTATCCCTCCACATGAAGTTCAAATTTTCCCACTTCCAGCAAAACAAGCAGGTGCTCATTTTAGAAGTGACCCTTGCAAGTGGCCGCAGCTGTGGCAGAATCCTCTTTGGAACAAGCAGTTTTTAAATTTTTTTAAAGATTTATTTATTTACTATGGGGGGGTAGTTTGCGCAAGCAGGGGGAGGGGCAGAGGGAGAAAGAGAAGGAAGCAGACTCTCCCCTGCGTGGGGAGCTAGATGGGGTAGGGGGCAGGCGGGGGGCTGGATCTCAGGACCCTGAGATCATGACCTGAGCTGAAATCAAGAATCAGTTGCTTAACTGACTGGGCCACCCCAGGCGCCCCTGGAACAGGCTGTTTTGTCTAAAGAGAGCATAGCTGGAGTAGACCAGTGCTGCTTCTTAAACTATCTGCGGCCAAGAACCAGTCCTGACAGCCAGAAGACCTCATGTGCATCAGCATAAATTGCCAGGAGGGGATCTACTGAAATGTTCCCAGAAGTTGGCACTGCCTTGGGAAATCATGGCTAACTTCTTTCTTCTTTGTGCTTCCCTATACTTCCCAACTGTTACTCATATGCTTACACACACACACACACACACACACACACACACACACACACACAATTTTTTAGAGCATGTTTGATGCTCTTTGGCAGTTACATCTTATTACTGGGAACTTGAAATCAGCTTATGGACAAGATAACCCAGATTTTTCTCTCAAATCTGCTATCAAGTCAGTTCATGAACAACTGATTTTTTTGAACTTAAGACTGAATTTGGGGCTGCCTGGGTGACTCAGTGGGTTAAGCCTCTGCCTTCAGCTCAGGTCATGATCTCAGGGTCCTGGGATCGAGTCCCACATCAGGCTCTCTGCTAGGCAGGGAGCCTGCTTCCTCCATTCTCTCTCTCTCTCTCTACTTGTGATCTCTGTCAAATAAATAAAATCTTTAAAAAAAAAAAAGACTGACTGACTTTATTATGAGGCCACATAATGATCACAAGTGCATGGGATATTGGGATACCTCGGTGGCTCTCTTGGTTAAGCATCTGCCTTCAGTTCAGGTCATGATCTCAGGGTTCTGGAATTGAGCCCTTCATGGGGATTCCCTGCTCAGTGGGGAGCCTGCTTCTCCCTCTCCCTCTGCCTCCCACCCCTGCTTATGTTCTCTCTCTCTGTGTCAAATAAATAAATAAAATCTTAAAAAAACACACACACACAAAGAAGAGCATGGGATTTGAATCAACATTAACTATAACATTTACAGTTTTGTGGGTGCTCTGAATGTTTATTTATTAGGGTGAGATGGAAGGCAGGGAATGTCATCTTAGGCTTGTCCATTCTATCCTTTTTAGTTTGAAGAGGTTCTCCAGAATGATGTACTTGGAATTCTTAGTCTTACTTTCTTTCTCTTTGACATTTGTTGATATTTCACAGTCTTTATCTTTTCTTTATTCTTTCTGTGGTTTGGTCATAAGTTGCTACTGCTATCATTGCTGTTGGGAGCCCATTGGGGGCCTTGGTCTCTCCTACAAGCTACATCTGTTCTTGCTTATGTGCTCATTTAGGATGGAAACTACTGCTGGACTGTCTACTTAGCCAGCCCCTCCCTGGGAACGTTCACCCTGTCACGTGCAGGTTATGGTGGACAGGGTTAGAGCGGGTCATGCTTGTACGTGTAGCGTCAACCCTGGCTACAGCTAACTGGTCTGGGAGTAAACACATGATCCAAGCTGGATCAGTCAGTTCCTTCCCAGGAATCTCAATTTGGTAAAGAGAAAGAGAGAATGAGAGGAGAGAGCACAAGTGCCTTCTCTTTCAAAATGGCCGAACCAGCAACACACACTTGAAGCTCTCTGGTGAGTCTATTTTCAGTTACGTGGTCTGGGAAGGAGGAAAAGCCTGTACACAGACACAGCGAAGAGCGAAGATGAGAGCTGAAGATGGAGTCGTGTTAATGTGTACCCTGAAAAGCAGGCCCCCAACCTCCAGCTGCTATGGTTCCCCCCCAATTCCCTGAATCTTATTCCTTCTGATGCTGGAATTTCATGACACACCTCAGGATCCTTCCCATAAACGGCCTTTTGTTGCTTCAGCTAGCGAGGCTTATT